TCTGTGTGTGTGTGTCTGTCTCTCTCTCTCTCTCTCTCTCTCTCTCTCTCTCTCTCTGTGTGTGCGTGTTCACGTGTGTCTCTCAGCAGTGCCGTGTGTGTGACGCGTGACCCTCTGCCCATCATGACACCAGCGTTGATGCTCTCATGCTTTTCTCAGTGTGTTTGTGTGTCTCAATCTTTCTCCTGCTAGGCTGCTGTTCACCTGCTTCTGTGCTTTTATTTGAAATGCTGCTAACTTCCTGTTTCTTCTCTTTCTCCATTTTCTTGCGCTTCCAACAGCCTAGCGATTTGCGGAAGCATCGTAGGAAGGTAATCTAGAGAAACTGCGCAGCCGCATGTGTAACCCTCCTGTAACATCTGAATCTTAAGAACATGTGTTACAGCACACGCATGTGTCACACAGAGCTACACGCATCACAGCACTTGATTCAGCAGAAATACCAGACAAATATTGACATCATGAGCGTGACACAGAGGATGAGTAGGGCTGGGCGTTATGACCAAAACCCTCACGAAAAATCCCCACTCTACTTTTTAAATGCATGATATCGATCTTATTGTGAACGTATCATTTTATTTATTTTGACTTTATAATGTTTCATTCAAATGTCATAACTGGATCTTCCAGTGAATCTGCTTAAACTCCAGCTCTTTCTTACAGTCGACTGCTCAGTCACGTTCAGATCTGCCTCCAGCCAATCAGTGAGGGGAACAGAACCAAGCCCCGCCCTACATTTTTTTCCTTTTCGATAATCGGTTTCATTGGATATACGCCACAATGCAAAAGAAAAGATCTGTCGCTACGTGCGTTACATCATGACTGTAAACAAACCTGTCTGTTTTTATCAAATCTAATGAATGAAATGCACTTCATGGCATTTGATGTTTTCATTTGAGTCATATAATGTGTTGTTATAAATCCGATATCACATCCATCATACCACCCAGTCCTGCTTATCAATGATTTATTTGTTATTATGCAAAACTCTATAAAAACACAGGGGATTCCATTATATTTTGTGTAGTAGACTGACAATCACGCCGTCGGACAGTGTTTTAGTTTAGTTTATCTGACAGCTGTGTCATGTTCGATTCACAGACAGTTCTGAATGGACTGACTTTCTTCTGTGGAGCACAAAAGATGTTTTAAAACTCAGTTAGGGTCCAGAAAACCCAACACTTCTTTTGCCTTCCACAGAAGAAAGTCCGTCATACCGGTTTGAAACGATGTGAATGATGACAGAACACACAACGCTCCCATAGACTGATGTCATAAATAATTCATAAATATATCAATATGTCTTTACCTATTATTTTATACCTTACATTTTAGAAAGAAAGAAACCTTTTTAAAGGTGAATTTCATCAAAACGATCATGTTCTGTCGGTCCTAGATCAGCCATGTTTTAGCTTTGTGTGTTTAATGCTGCTGTTTAAAGTGCTTGTGTGTGTGTGTTTAGTGCGCACAAGACGATAAAGCCACTATTAGATGTGAGACGTCTCCTCCGTCCACACCGTCCTCCGTGAGACTCCATAAAGGAGCGCTGCACACCGCCAGCCACGAGGACATCAGAGACATACGGGGGTCAGTCACACACCCACAGCATTATAATGATGAGGATCGTTCATACAGGAGCAGAGATGTGACGTGTGTGTGTGTGTGTGTGTCTGTGTCTGTGTCTGTGTCTCTGTCTATGTGTGTCTGGGTCTCTGTGTGTGTGTGTGTGTGTGTGTGTGTGTGTGTGTGTGTGTGTGTGTGTGT